GCCGCCGCCCGGACCGTGGGGCGCCAGGCTCGTCCTGCGCGCCCTCCGCCATGCGCGCCGGACTCCGCGGCTTTCCCAAGCAGCCCCAGCACGGCGGACACCAGAGCCTGGGCCGGGGCGCCTCTCGCTGAAGTAGCTGGGCGAGCGGGGCAGGGGGTCGCCACGTCGGGGGCGCGGCCCGGACCCGCGGAATCGGTCCCCGAGAGCGGGGAGCGGGGCCGCCCGCGCCGCCCCAACATTACCTCCCCCGGCGGCAAGGAGGAGCCGGTGGCGGTCGCCTCCCGGCTGTGGCAGCGGCGGCGGCGCGCCTGCCTGGCGGCCGTCGGCGTGCTCCTGGTCATGGCGCTCGGGCTGCTCATCGCGGTGCCGCTGCTGCTGCAGGCGGCGCCCCCCGGAGCGGCGCACTACGAGATGATGGGCACGTGCCGCATGATCTGCGACCCCTACACGGCCGCACCCGGCGGGGGACCCGCGGGCGCCAAGGTACCGCCGCCCGGACCCAGCACCGGCGCCCTGGAAGTCATGCAGGACCTCAGTGCCAATCCCCCGCCCCCCTTCATCCAGGGACCCAAGGGCGACCCAGGGCGACCCGGCAAGCCCGGACCGCGGGGACCCCCTGGAGACCCGGGCCCCCCTGGACCCAGGGGCCCCCCGGGGGAGAAGGGAGACTCGGGACGGCCGGGGTTGCCGGGGCTGCAGCTGACGGCGGGCACTGCGGGCGGCGTCGGGGTGGCGGGCGGCGGAGCCGGGGGCGGCGGCGACTCCGAGAGCGAGGTGACTAGCGCACTGAGCGCCGCCTTTAGCGGCCCCAAGATCGCCTTCTACGTGGGTCTCAAGAGCCCGCACGAAGGCTACGAGGTGCTCAAGTTCGACGATGTGGTCACCAATCTCGGCAACCACTACGACCCCACCACGGGCAAGTTCAGCTGCCAGGTGCGCGGCATCTACTTCTTCACCTATCACATCCTCATGCGTGGGGGCGACGGTACCAGCATGTGGGCGGATCTCTGCAAGAACGGTCAGGTCAGTGACCTCCACCCCCGCCAGCCCCGCACACCCTCGCCCGCACCCGCGCCCTGAACCTCGCCCTGGAGCCCAGTCTCCTTTCTCCCTGCTCGCGAGAGCCGGAGCCAGCGCCGGCAGGAGCGCGCGGCTGTGCCACAGCCACCCGCTGCCCATGCGCCCTGGCCGCGCTGAAGGGAGCTTAGCGCTGCAGGCTGGGCCCGGAGCGCCCAGCTTCCCCGCCCCCCGCAGCTGCACACCCGGGCTACCCTCCTACCCTCCTGCAACTCCGCGACCACCCATGGTCTGTTTGGAGGCCGCATTCTTTTTTAGCATCCCCTGTAGGCTCCCATCTCCCCTTTTCCCTCTAGCCTCCTTCCCTCCGTGCTCTGGGTCCCACCCTCTGCTCTGGGTCAGTGTCAGTGAACTGCCCTCCCCCACCCCCCACCTCCCCCTAGACTCGCAAACTGCGGAAAGGAGGGGACGGGGTGGGAGTTGGCCGAGGTGGAGAGAGGGCGTGGAGCAGGGATGAAAGCGTTGAGCTGGGAGCCTAGGGCAGAAGGCCCGCCAAGGGCGCGCCACGTGGGAGCCGGGCTAGAGTTTAGGCAGAGGTGCCTCGGCCCACTGGCTTCTGCGACTCGCCCCCAGGTCCGGGCCAGCGCCATCGCGCAGGACGCAGATCAGAACTACGACTATGCCAGCAACAGCGTGGTGCTGCACCTGGACTCGGGGGACGAGGTGTACGTGAAGCTGGACGGCGGGAAGGCGCACGGAGGCAACAACAACAAGTACAGCACCTTCTCGGGCTTTCTTCTCTACCCGGACTAGAGGCGCGGGGAGCGCGCAGAGCGGGCGGCTTCAGGCCGCGCCATCCCGGCTCCGGCGCACGGCTTGGCGAGGGCTACTCTCGCTTCATGACACTTGCTGACATCTCCGTTGGAAAAGACACGTCCCTACTGTCCTCCCTGCCTCGCCCCCGGACTCCATGTGTCTGCGACTCATAGCGCTCTGAGCCGCGCCCCTACCCTGCCCAGCCCCCAGCCCGGGGAGAGAGACGGGGACGTCCAAGTGGCCAGCTGAGCGTGAACCTAAGCCTCTGGGGCGGGGACGCAGACGTTGCGAACTTGATTGGACTGGACAGGTCCTCTTCTGGGCACCGAGGCCTAGGGCTCTGTGCCCTGGCAAGGGAGGTAGGCCAAGGCGAGCACGGGCTCCCTGGGGGCGCCTTTCCTCGTGTCCCGAAATATTTGTGCGAATTTCCCTGTCCCTCTGCCAAAAACCCACCCGCAGCTGAATCCCAGCAAAGGAAAATTCACTTCTCCACACTGCACTCCCAGCTCAGCCCCGCCGCGCTGCATTAAATGATGTTTTTAGACCTGGACTCTGAAGTCTCTGTCAGCGTGGCCCTTGGACCAGGACACCAGTTGTCCACCGTGGCAAAAAGACCCCAACTGGGTCTAGAATAGCCCCATCTGTGCCCCCACTGGCCAGCCATTGCCTACCTGGGGTGGGTGAAGAGATGGAGAGATAGGGGAGCACCACCCCACCCTTTAGGGAAGATTCTCCCCCGGGCTGTAGCCCTGAACTAGAGGGTGCTATGGAGGGTCATGGGGGGGATTAGAGGGTGACAGGAGAGAAATGATCGGGTCTCCAGCCTCTGGCAACTTAAGCAACTTTGTCCTTTCAGCTGTGGGAAGCAGGTGAGGGGAGGAGTTTCTGGGGAAGGAAGGGGGACTGGAAGGAGGCAGGTGAGGCATCGCTAGGTGGGGGAGCCTTCTAGGATGTGTTTGGCTCTCAAAAGGGCAGGCAGACATCCCGCAAGCACACCCCACCGAGGCACGAGCTGCACTCAGCACATGCCCACCTACTGTCAGGCCAGCTGAGCGCACACCTCTCAAAACAGGCGGCCTGCTGAGAAGCTGGCTCTCTGGATCCACCCAAACTGGGTGATGAGACAGACGCCATCCCTGGGGGAGGTCACCTTCCTCTCAGGTCTCCCCCTGCCCTTCCACGGGGTGTGGGGGCCTGCTCTGAACCTGAACGTGCTTGTTTGGGCTCCTGCCTTCACCTCCCTTGATATCCAGCTCACAGGTTGCCAACCAACGCCTCACACGGTGTTCCTTTTCCTCTTTTCACTCCTTTTGGCTGTTGTTAGGTCATGGAGTTCCCACAACGAAAATGACCAGCTAGCAACCTGTTAGCGCTGACTGTGTGAGTGTGCACGCACAGAGACAATCCGGCAGTGCGCACACGGAGTGTGCGTGTCTGTACAAAGCTGGCTATGCAGGTGTCTACACCCTTGTGGCTAGAATGTGGTTGTCACCACACAACCGATGTTACACACAAGCACAGACATGCGTATGCGTAGGTCCATGTCGGTTTTGTGTGTGACAGTGCTCCAGTCTGCGCGTCTGCCCCCAAATCACATTCTGCTTGACTCTGGTCCCTGGAGGATGCGGAAAGCTGTGCTTCCGTTTAAAGGACAATTACACCCCCCTGCCTGGAGTCCCGATGTTACTCTTCTTCATGCTCTTATTTTATTTGAATAATGTTTTGTTGTCATTCACTTGAATGTGAGCAATGATTGCCTCTGCTTTGAGTCGGGGGTAACGTGTTCAGAGAGCTGGCGGGAGGGGGGGATATATACACACACACACACACACACACACACACACACACACTACCCTCCTCCCAATTCCAGACCCAAACAGAACCCCAATTTCCTACCCCGCCCCCCCACAGTGACTGTGAATTCCAAATCCAGCCGGGCACAGGAAAGGGCGAGGGGGAATCAGAGTAGGGGCCCGTCTACACTCGCATACGTATCAATTTCTGATGCTTGTCGATTGTATCATGCAGAAATTCGATTAAAACCAAATATCTAAGACCTAAATGAAGTCTAATTGCTATGGATCTGCAGTCCCCAGTGGGCCCCTAATCCTTTTTGACTTATTCCTCCCCTTCTTCCTATGAGATGGAGCTTAGACACAAAGCCCGGGGTTTAAATTTCAGAAATTAAAATTGACATGCTGCGGTGGCTTTCCTGGGAGTGGGAAGGATTTCTAAGGAGGTGCTGAAGCCCAGCCTTATCCTCTGTTTTAAGAAGCAATTTGCACTTGTAACAGAACCCCCGCCACTCCCCTTTGGCAGAGGGCAGTGGAGACGCCTTGCACGGGTCTGGCTGTTCACAATACTTAGACAAATTTGAATCTGAGATTCCTTCATCTGTATTCCCCGGTGCAGCTGGGATTCTTGCAATTCTAATGCCCTGGCTGCCGGGAGGTGCTGCCAGAGGCGTCAGCTGCTAACAGGATGATAGATGGATGAGGTGATAGAGAAGCCTGGCCGGTGGCAGGAACTCACCACCTCAGAGCAATCTCTCTCTGCGTCCCAGGGAGGTCCTCACCGCTTGCTGAAGTTCATGGTCTAGTTATCTTGCTGGAGGACTCCCTGACAAGGGTGGGGAGGCCAACTTCCCCCAATTACTGCCTGTGTGGTGTTGGTGCTGAGTCTGGAGGTGGGAAGGGAATGCAAGAAGCCCTTCGCTCGACATTTGCCATTCTTGTCTCTAGCTGAGTAGGCAATCACCACCAACTGTAATTATAAAGCCCTGTTTTAATCTCCTGATCACTTCTGGTGCATTTTCTAATCATATTCTTAGGTTGGGATGGTCATACAGACATCTCCCAGGACTTGGGATAAGCATTATTAGTGTGTCCATGTGAGTGGTGGGGAAATTGGAGCTCAGAGGGCTTCAGTGACCTGCCCAAGTTTACAGAGCTTACGAGAGGCTGAGATGGGACTTGAACTCAGGTCTCCAGGCTACATCGCTGCCTGACTCTGCTGGAGAGAATTCCAGAGTTCTCAGGCCTTTGAACCAGGGGAGAAGAACAAACAGGTGGGACACACTTCCTACTGCCTCCTCTGATGTTGGAAGTCCCAGCATCCTCTGAAGCCCAGGCAGGAAGAGCTAGCTCTACTCCAGGGTCCCCAGAGAGCACCCCAGATACAGGCTCCCACTCCTGAGGAATCTGGCTGAACATTTAGCCATGAGGTCTGCGATGATGGCCCAGCAGGGCCCTTGGGTCACAAACTCCAAATGCTCCATTTGGATCTGTCTCCATCAGCAAGCCACCTCCCCACTCTACAACCCTTCTCTTAGGACGCACTGACTACCTTCTCCTACAACAGCGGGGAGGGGGCATCCTGCAGGTGCAGAGGCTTGGCTGCAGTGAGTACTGGGTAGAGTTAGGGCCCTTTTCCCATTTGTGGAGTCGGGCATCTCTGTGACTCACTGTTTTCAGGACTGCCTGAGTGTATCACATGAGCGCATGAGACGCACACCTGGCCGGGCAGTTGGGATGGAAGTCATACCTCCTGCTAGTTCCTCTCCCAGCCTGTGAGCAGACGGCTCCGTAGAAGCCCAAGACAGAGATGCAGGCCCACCCCTCCATCAGGCTCTACGGACGCCACATTGCGGAGACCAGCTGCTCCAAGCTTCCCTGATCACGCAGCCCCAGTTGATTAAACAGTGTGCGAGCACTCATCCCCAACATACGTATTTACTCATGAATAATTTGGGTATACGACTGTCAATGCAAACTTCTAAATTTTCCATCTTGTATTTATGTTCATCAAAGGATCTGCCCGTTCACGTCAGTATCTATATTTTGGTTAACCAACAGTTTGGAAATAGGTCTCCTCTCATTCAGAAAAAAGGAACAAGTGTTCATTCACATTCCTCCCTTCAACGAAGGAGCCCGGGTGGCACAGTAGTTAAGCTCTCGACTGCTAACTGAAAAGTTGGTGGTTCAAACCCACCAGTCACTCTGTGGGAGAAAGATGTGGAGTCTTTCTGTAAAGATTTACAGCCTTGGAAAGCCTGTGGGGCAGTTCTACTCTGTTCTAAAGGGCTGCTATGAGTTGGAATCGACTTGATGGCAATGGGGTCCTTCAAGTTGCCATTTTTCTGAAATCTTAGGAGGAAGAAAAGAAAATACATTCTTCTATGAGTCACAGGTAAGCCTGTACACTTTAGCTTCAATCCGTATTTTAAGTATTAGTAAGGCCTGGTTTTCTCATTCTTTCTTTTAAATAAATAAAACTAAAGTTCCGATATTTGCTTCTTATACCCCATTTTGGAGACTCTGGTGTTGGCATTGAAGCCAGCTAGTGAAATCAGGACCAGCCAGGGTCTCTCCAGGGACCCTCTGGAGAAGCGAGGGCAAACGTGGGGCGGGGG